GATCAAGTAAATCGACCTGCAAAGTAAAGCGATAATCCACATCCAGAGATTTAGCGAACAGGATAATAGGAGGAACAAATATTTCTTTTCATTTAGTCTTCATTATGATTTTACAGTAATATATATTTATGACTAAGTCATTAAAAAATGTGGGATGAGGTAATTACTATAATTGAAGTAGTTATTAGTAAGAGTTAAAAGGTCCAAGGAATTGCGTGATAATTAACAAGATGGGTTGATAACCAATAACTCTACCGATAGTTACGCAAAAATAGACGATTATTAGGACGCGGAATGTTAGAAAGATCATAGAAATCAAAGCTCCCTTTCAAGTCACGCTGTTACTACTTTTGTCGATGGCCAAAGTAGAGGGAAGGTTCGTAACAAATTCCTTTAACTACAAAGGTTGATGAATATGAATTATGATAGTTTTAGTGGTATATATATAAGACTAACTCGCAAACGGTGCGGTGTGATGCAAGACAATAGATTAATCTTAGTGTGCGAGTCAGTTGAGAGAGATTAGAACTTTTGATTAACCTTAACAATCATTTATTGTGCAAGGCGGGATGGTATTAGACCGTACAAAGGCAGGCTCTTCTCACTATTTGCTCTATGAAGATGTGTCCACTGATGTAATTGAAATTATAAACAACGGATAAAGGGATTAAGCAAATAATTTCGTCTAAAAACAATTTTATTTTGTCGAATCCTCCTTATTTTTATTTAGTGACAAGCAAACATGTAATTGGCGAATTCAGGCAGTCTATCTTTGTTGACAGTTGGAATTATATAACGAATATAAAATGTCAAATTTAATTTGGGTATAGAGAACGTTTTCTGTAACGTAAAGCTCACATTCAAATGGCACTAGAAACAGTGTATTGAGTTACTTATGCCTGTTACCCCTCATGAAGGAGCATAGGCCATCCACCAGCATTCCCCATCCAACCCTATCCTGGGCAATCCTCCTGTTATAGCCCGAAGCCGCCAATCAGAAGCAGCGAGCCGCCTAGAGTTCTGATTGGCCCTGCTTTCTGCCTAGCCCAGCCAGTTAAGTCCAGAACACCAGTCTCAGCCCCTGCAATATCAATCATTTGTTTTAAATATACTAGGTTTATATACAAACCAGACAGACCATATCGTACCATAAAATAGGAAACAACATTTGTACAAGATCTAGCCAAATGTGGCTGTGAATTTGGGAGGTAGTGATTAATAGACAGGGCATAATTCAAGAATGATGAAACGTATAATAATAGTTCATAAGTCAAAATAAAGCTCCTAATAAGAGAGACATGAATATGAATAGTTTATTTATTTATCAATTATACGATAAAAAAATACGTATAGTATTGGTCCATAAATGGATCCCAAAAGTTACCATCCATTAATCTTGTCGGGGCATAACACCTCCCAGTTGTTTTGCTGTCACTATTTATCCCTTTAATTTCTGTTTCCAATTTGCGGCCCAATGTATTATTGGACCTATCTCCTCCACCTTCGTTTCCCTTCAGGACTCCCAGTTAGCGCTTGCTTCGTGATGCAATTTAATTTTCACAATTTATGTCCTATCCACTTCCGGAGACTTTCCTTTATTTCCTCTTCGGCTAGAAGCTGGTTGATTTTCTCCCACAGTAGGCTGTTGCTGATGGTATCCGGCTAACGGACATGGAGTAACCTGCGTAGATAATTCTTTATAAATACTTGTAGTTTCTTGATTATGGTCATCGTATTTCACTTTTAATGTTCGTATTGAAGACCCTGACTTTGATGTTGGCTGACTGTTGTTTTAAGTTTCATATTTTCTTCGTTTGTAGGAATGCGTCTCTGGCTTTGCCAATCCTCACATAAACGTCTGCATCAGATCATCCTTGTTCATCGATAATGCTGCTGACCAGCTACATGAAAGTCTCCACCTCTTCCAGAGTTTCTTCATCAAGCGTGGTTGTATTGCATTTTTTTGATTGAGATCTTGAACCAATTGATGTTAGACCATCACAATTGAAAACCTGGAAGCACTGGACGGCCGTTTCGTCCTATTGTGGGACTCCTCAGCAGTGCGCATCCACGATCCCGCGAGCGGGATTCGAACCCAGGGCCTTCGGTCTCGCGCGCGAAAGCTTAACCAACTGGACCACTGAGCCGGCATCCAATGGTGATAGTTTCTAACATCAACCAATCCACGAAATTGCGCGACCAACTTCCATTGTATTGCATTTGTCTTTTGTGTATGTCGAGGCAAGCCGCTGCAGCTATACTTTATCTCTTGACCTGTATTTGGTGGTGTGTATGAGATAGAAGAGCTTGGTGATCTGCGAAATACAAATTTTCTAATTGATTCCAAGCTGTTCATTGTATTCCGCGTTTCCTCTCTATTGTAGAGGAAATCATAATCCAGTCGACCACCAGAAGAAATAGTAAGGGAGGAAGTAAGCAGAGTTGTCTGACTCCGGTCCTCATTTAGAACGAGTCTGTCAGTTTTCCTCCATGCAACACTTTGCAGTGTAGTCCGTCGTACAATTTCCGTATGATATTGACAATCTTCTCACGTACACAATAATGTCAAAGAAGATTCCATAATGTTCCCCTATCCACACTGTCAAATGCTTTCTCACAATCAAGGAATTTGATGTACAGTGACGAACTCCATACAATTGATTGTTCAACGATGATCCATAGTGTCGCGATTTGATCTGTGCACGACTGATCGTTACGGAGTTTACCTGTTGATCTCGAAGTTGGGCGTCGTCTGAATCTTTCATTCTTTTCAGCAACACTCTGTGCAAAACCCTTTCCTGGTACTGAAACTATTGTGATGCCTCTGTAGTTCTCACATTCGTTCGGATTTTTGTTTGTTATGTTGATGAGGTGTCTTTCCTTCCAGTCTGTCTGAACTTGTACTTCCTACCAAATCATCCTGAATAGAACTTGGAGTATGCTTGCAGTTACTTCTATGTCTGAGTTCAGAGCTTCGGCTGGTATATTGCCAGGTTCAACTGCCTTCCCACTATTGACTTGTCTGGTGGCCATCCTGATTCCTTCGATCGTTGGTGTAGTGACATATATAGGAAGGTCTATAGATGATGCTTCAATGTCCAGTGGATTCAATGGAGCTGGTCCATTCAGGAGTTTCTCGGAGTGTTACGACCATCTGTTCTTCTGTCTTTGAACTTAAGTGATTGTCTTTTCGTTTTTGTCCTTGACTGGTTTCTCTGGTTTCCCTACCAGTTTCTCCATCGTGTCCCATGATTGTTTAATCTTTCCTTCTGTTGCAGCTTTTTATGCTGTCGTTGCTAGGTCTTCCATGTGTTTCTGCATGTCGGCTCTAATACTCTTCTTTACTTGCTTGTTTGCTTCTGTGTATCCAGATTGTGGCTTGACTTTCTCTGCTCTTATCGGACTGTTGTTAACTGCTGTCCTTTCTCTTCCTTTCTTGGATCTTGTCCAGGGTTTTCATATATATCCATTCCTTATGATGATGCATGTTGCGGCCCAGAACCCCCAAGGCATGTTGGAGTCAGTGCTTCTTTGATCCTTTTCCAGTTGTCCAACATGGTAGCTTTTTCTTCCCTGAGTAGTTCCTGTGGGTCGTGGAACTTATTGTTGAGAGATACCTTGAATTTGTTGAGTTTGTCAGTATTTCGAAGAAAGACTTTATTGAAGTTTTCTAATGCTGCTTCTCCAGTTGTTCAGTGCTTCTTTACCATTAGTTTCATCTTGGCAATCATCAGTTCTGAAGCTATGTCAGCTCTGGTTGTTTGAAGGAGCGTCGGCCTCGTGACTTTGGAAGAATATCAACTTCCATCATGAGGAGTCATAATTCTTCCTTGAATTCAGAGGGCAGAGTTTGAATGGTTTAATTTTTTTATCTGGTTAGTGTTTTTTAACAATTATTTTCTACGGGATAGGCTTGTCGATCACACTTCCTACTCTCCTTGCTTACCCGATCATGAGACCGGCAGTAACTCTAGAGGAGCTAAAGGCAGAGTTAGTGTATTGAGTAATATAACTTTTTCAACCGATTCAAACTGTATAAGATTAGTGAGTTTTATACAAATAAGTACAAATGATTTAGTCAAAGTATTGGAAATTATTTTCGAATTAATAGAAAATTAATAATCATTAATAAATTTCAATAATAAACCCTATTCATGAAAGACAAACAATAAAATGTACTGTAATATTGTGCATATTTCAAATCCATTAAACAGTGAGTACTTCATGAACAGTTAGATTAAGAATACTCCTAAGCTTGTCCGAATTTCAAACAAACTTACATCTATTTGTTTTCACATAAAACAATGTTAATTTTTGAAATAATTCTGTACAAAAAAATCCCCTGAATACTCACTAACACATTGAAGAAAAAAAATATAGCCGATTTTTGCTAGAAGTATTTTTGAAAGTCTGAAATTCTATTTCTTCTGGTTTCTCCAGTTTGACATACCTTGCTCATGTTTTCTTTTTCAATGTACTTGTTCTATGTACTCATGTTCCCTATATAATCAGTATAATATAAATATATATTTATCGTTATAGTTAAGTTTCTTTGAGTTTAGTCAATCAATATTAAGAAAAGTTTTGGATCTAATGAATTTTTCAATAGTGAATTACTTATATTTTAATATCACAAAGGGTTTTGTGGAGGTTGTAGTAATTTCAATAGTTGAGATCATGAGTCAGTTGAAGCTAGACCACAATAGAAAACCTGGAAGCACTGGGCAGCCGTTTCATTTAATTGTTAAGCGCCTAGCGCGAGACTGATATGTCCTGGGTTCGAATCCCATGGGGCGGGGTCGTGGATGCGCACTGTTGAGGAGTCCCACATCAGAACGAAACGGCTGTCCAGTGCTTCCAGGTTTCCAATGGTGGTTTAGCTTTAATTGAATCATGATTTCAATTATATTTTAATAGTTCAAATTAAAATATCTGTTTTTATTGTAAATCCATGTAGATCAATAAGAGTTTACTTGATATTAACAGTGAAATTTACTTACTGGTTGTGAATAAATACATAATTGTTGAAATTCTGGTAATTTAGACTTAGTTAAACTACTCCATTCATAATCATTATATTTATTTAAAACATTTTCCTCATTGAAATAGGATAATTTTCTTTCAGCTTGGTCATAGACTACATGTAAATCTTCAAACTTTTCATTAGTTACATCAATAAATTTATCATCATTACTGGAACGATTAGTATTTGATGTGGATGGATAACATGTAGAAGTAAAAGGATTTACTGGATTCAAATTAATTTGTTCTTTAGAATTTGTAGAATACAATATGCTTATTGGTTGTACACAATTGTTAGTTAAAAAATTTGTAGAAATAGGCTCTAAACGTACAATTAAAGGTTGTGGAAGAACAGTAGCTTGTGTAGTTGAGGAATAAGAAAGTGTGGAATTTGCTGTTTCATAATAATTATTTACATATTGGGAAAGTGATGTATTATATTGTAATGTTGCATAATTTACTGTAGGCGTAATGTCACAAGATGTAATTGAATTATTTGGGATATCACTTATTAAGTTGGGTAATAATGAATCAATATTATGAATATTGTCATCGTGCATAAGTTTCGTTCTAATCGGACTCATTTCTGAAATAAAAATAAAATATAATGAAATCAAAAGAGACTATAAAAATTGATTTAAGCAATATTTAATTGAATGGAGAAAAATATGAATACCTCTTTTATGGTATAGTAAAGCGATAATAACATAATATGCGAAATTTCTCTATGATAGTGGTCACGTAAACAAGTCCTAGATTTTATCTTGGATCTGACAGACGATCTCTGATACCTTTCTGTATATCCACATAAGCAAGAATTAAAGACACTAAATATGACTTATATCCTCAAATAAATGAGCAGAAATATTGTTTGTATCACATTATCATTTATGTCATTTAAAGATCTTATTGATAACGTAGTTCGTATTTTGCAGTTTTAAAATAATTTTACTGGAAACTGCGACATCGGAAACCCCTAGCTAAGAAGTATGAGAGAGCCTTTCAGTCACCTTAAATTATTGCAATTTTAATTTGATGAATTACAATGATGCCTCGCTTATATTTATACATGAAGCTTGTTCACAAAGGTTGTGTCATCAATATCAGATGAGCGATATGGAGTCAGTTATAAAGTGTTCAGTATATACGCAAATATCTCAATGATAATTTGTTTGACAGATACTAGGTGACTCTAGGACAAATACCACAGGATGCATAAGCTTTCTTAATTTTGTTAGTGCCATTTTCTGAGAATGACAACCTCCCCCGAAACCAGGAGTGAGCATTTTTGTCATATAATTTCTATCAGCTAACATTAGTTATAATAAATAAAAACAACAAAAATGATAACCTTTAACTAGATCGAACTAAACAAAAGTCCTAATTGTAGTACTTCACGTAAATTAATGAATAGTTAATTTCAACAAATTTACTGAATGTAACTTTGGTGAATATCCGACAATTGTGGACTTTTTCGGTTTTAATTTAAAATACTTAAAATTGATGAAAAACTAATCCTTGTGATAAAATAATGTTCATAATCTTGAGAAATTTCAAGTAAGCTAATAAGTAAATTGCCCATATAAGTCTATTTGCCGAATAAATTACATTTCAAACATTCCGCTCGAAATTTCTGGATAATTTTATTGGTTACATTCATGTATTTGTACATCAAATATGTTCAACCGTGATGTGGTTCTCGATATAAGAGAGTATGAACAGTAAGACATACCATGATTTAATATTATTTCTCAACAGGACTTACATAAATGTTAGTTATAATCATGCAATGAAGGAGTTACAGCATTAATTATTCTACATATAAATAATCTGATTTTTCGTTAGTAAAGTTTACCACTATTTATGAAACTTACTTATATTCTGAAATCCGTCCTCATTGAAAGAATAATCTCCTTTGCTTTCATTGAGTTCGTTAGTATTTTTTGAATTGTGGATTACTGAATTGTTTTTAAGTTTTCTATATTTAATAATACAAGCTACAGAACACATTAAAATAATTGATAGTAGTATTGATACCACCACTGTAGACAAGATTATGTAATTATTTAAAGAAAAACGGTTATGATTACTCCATTTTGAATAGGTAAGATGATTACCTTCCCAATTTTCCATATGATCCATATCGTAATCATCATCCAATTCGTAATCAAAACTACCTTTTGTTTCTGATGGTGTGATGTTTACTGGCTTAATGTGAATTGTTATGTAGGAATATTTTGATATAGGTATACCTAAATCATAAGCTCTTATCTTTATATTTATTGTTTTGTTTAGATCTGATAGAGAGAACTGTGTATTTAAACGTAATAAACCATTCAATGGATTTAATGAAAATAAAGAATTTTTTAAGAATTCATAATTTTTAACCGATTGATTCATAGCAAATGAATCTTTTATAGTTTTCATTTGATCATTAACGTTATTGTTCTTTATAACTTCTCGTGTTACCTGATGTATTTCATACCTGACAGTGCCATTTATACCTGCGTCGTTATCAATTGCATGTAACTGAAAATATAAAAATATAAATATGGTTATAGAACAGTTTTATTCACATTAATTATATTCGATTAAATGTTATTGATTGAGATCATGAACCGATTGGTGTTAGGCCACCGTTGGAAACCTGGAAGCACTGGACGGCCATTTCGTCCGATCGTGGGACTCCTCATTAGTGCTCGTCTATGATCCCAGTCGTGGGAGTCGAACTCAGGGCCTTCAAAGACCATCGTTGGAAACCTGGATGCACTGGACAGGTTAAGCGTTCGCGCGCGAGACTGAAAGCTTCGGGTTCCAATCCTGTGGGCGGGATCGTGGATGGGTACTGCTGAGGAGTACCACAATAAGACGAAACGGCCATCCAGTGCTTTCATGTTTTCAATGGTGGTCTAACATCAATCGGTTTAGGATCTCGTTTAAATATTTCATTCATACAAACTTCAAGTTGCTTGAACTAATAACAATAACTGAAGAAAGTAAGGTAAGGTAAGTATCGCTTTCATTATCACGGTGTGGTATGTGCTACTTAAATCAACATAAGTAATACATGACGTTAGTCAGGAACAGAATGTCTGGAAGCAGAGAGACAAGAGGATCGGATAGTAAACAATGGAAACAGATTTTAATTTGTATGAAAATGCAAGAACAATGAAGTCTGAGTCATTTTAAGACATTTGATGGACATTTTGCAAATTAAGCTTTTACTATATGATTGTTAGATTTTATTATCAAGTTCTGTAATTTTCTGTCAAATACTATTCGATTGTTCACTAGAACGTTAATTATATGCTATGAAAGACGTTCAGTTAAGAGATCCATATTTTTTTAGAATTGTTTTAAGGCATTGAATAAACTCAAATATTTCGAGGTTTAGTTCACTTTACGTATGTTAAAATCTGTGTGGATTTCTGTCAACTTTATTTTTATTACAGAGAGCCAGATTCGAATTTACGACACAAAAGATCATGTTCAGAATATAAGTGCTGTGTTTAATTTTGATTCTTCCTGAAATGTGAAATATGTTTTAAACTATGTTAAATGTAAGTTGTTAAATTATAGGGGTCAAAAGTAAAGTACATTTTGTTAAAATCTCAGTAAAATGTAGAAAAATTCTCAAAACACTTAAGGTTTAAAATAATTAATGAAGTAGAAACATGACATTTGTCGGAACGTTATGATATTCATATCTGCATAAAACATTTGAATCAATGTGATCACATAATAATTCATTATATAGTTCATATAAAACGTAAACAAACTAAATGAGTAGGAATACCAAAACAACACAAATATGGAAGCGACAATATTACGTTTAGTACACACGACATCAGAATTAGAATAAACAGAATGGAATGGATTTGCTCCAATTACAGATTTATTTTCATCACATAAATGAGACTTTAGTTTGTAGAGGGGAAAACCATAAACATATACGAGATATTGCGGTTGAGTGGATTCAGATCATATTGGTTTTGAAAAATGTATTCTTTTTAAACCTATTCATGCCGAACAGTTCTTTTGAATTTGATTTTTTGTTTTACTTTGATCTAAGTTTTCTTTCGTATGAAATATATGTTATAATTCTGGTTTCATCATTGGGAACGGATATTACATTTTTGTAACCATAGCAACCAGTTATGTTCAGTTTTCAAGTGTGGATCCATCATTAGAAAATCATTTCGTAATTATTTCGATGACATAAACTTTTGAGAAGCAAAATCGATCTTGGCCATTTGATCTTCAACTGTGAGATCAATCTAACAACTTTGTAAGGTGTATTATATTTTCTCGTATCTTTTCTTATTGAACAATATCACTATTTTGTCTTTTAATTTCATTGTTCATTATAGATTATAGTTGTTAATAGTTGATGAAAAGCAGAGATGGATCGTATATAATTTCATTTTCTATTACGGGAGATAAATATACAATAAGTTCACTTTGAATGTCAGTTTTAATAAGAATGATTATCTTTGTATGATGTTGATGTCAAAACGTTTCTTTTCTAACACTATGCTAAATGAAAGAATTTTTTTCAGAGGATCAATTTAACTCACTAATTTTTCTAAAGTTATTAAATAACATGAATTAGTTTAAGTTGAAAACTATCCGTCAATTTTGTAATCCTGAACCATGCAATTGAACAAACATTGATTCATAGCATTCTATAAAGTATTGAAGGATTACTTAAACAGACGTAAAATTATACTATTTAAACTAATGAGGAGATTAGGGAAGGTTGATTTACAGACAAATAAATCACCACAAAGAAAATGAAAATGAAACACTTTCTTAGTTATGATAAAGAACTCACGTCAGATACTTAAGTTTAAGAATTCTAAAGAAGGTGGAAGGGATTTCTGCTCACATAGATTGTGATTAGTAAAGAAATGTTGTTTGTATTAAAATTATACAGAGATTAAATATGTGTATTCATGTAGATGTCTTAAACTATTTCGAATACATTATTTTACTACTTCCCTTGACGGAAATACAGCGTATTATGCTTTTTGTATCGTGAAGTAAAACAAATATGAAATACTATTTTAATCATATTTTTTGAGTGAGAAAAATAACGATTCAATCAGTCTACGTTAAGTTGCATAACATTTACGATTAAAAATCGTGACCAATAAAATTTGCATTCAACTGAATACAGGACATGTATGTAAAATGCAAATTCTTATTTTACTGAAGCACTTTTTTTTAAAAAGAAGAAATTATCAAATCAACCAAAATGAATAATCTATAGCATCTTTGCATTAGGTCTCTATAGTAAATAACACAAACGTATAAATGTTTAGTTGCAAAACGTTTGATAAACTGTAAATCTGAAGGTTTATTCACCTTTTTTTTCAAAAAGATAATGAACTAAATATGGAAATCCTAATTTCATGTACCTTGGTCTAGATCCTGTTCATATCATACAAAAATGTTTACTAAATAGCAACTATTTGAAAAAAATTTGCCTGAAAACCATTTGCAGTTAAGTTTTGAGTTGAACTAATAAAGATATATAGAAATAAATGATAATATGCATTAGAGTAACGTGTTTTCTTATATATATTTTGAGAACAAAATTTAAGTGTTACTAAGCAAATACGTAGAAGTATAAAACTTGCTGTTTGAATATAAATATTCAATGTCACCTTTTGATCTGACAGTATTTGTGAATAGTATTCATATAGTATATTTCTAACTTCTAAGTGGTGTGCGGTGGTCGGTATTCAATATAATCCTTAAACTTCGTATACAGTTCGTCTTGATAACCGTTATTAAATAACTCCCCAACGATATATTAATCAGAAGGCGAATACGAAGTGTTGATTACGTTTATTATGGGACCACATACAGATATCCAAAATTACAAGTGCGTTAAACAAGCATGAAAGAGTTGTGCCGAAAGGCAAGCGAGCAAACGAGCAAGTGAGTCAGCGAATATGAGTACGAGTAAGCGAGTACAGATAAGCGAAAGAGAGCGATGAACATGAATAACATGGACATATATAGACATAGTGAAATGAATGAATCATCGAATTAATTAAACGGTTAGTAATAAGGCTAGCACCGTGAATAAATGCGTAGACAGTAAATTACACTCAAGCATACATGTTCATTAATTTAACTTTAATCTCACATTCATTAGGATTTAAGTAAGCAGTATTTCTTTACCTTATCAACAACAACAAAAATACCTCTGACGTCTCAGTTTTGGTTGGTCATATCAACAACATATAAGTAAAATGTTTGTTGTTTAAACCTCAACCTTTCAAACTATTAAATTTGAGCACACTAATCGACATTGGTTTTTATTTTTGTTTTTGATTATTCAATAATATACGAATGATCTGTAATATTAAATTTTACATTGAATTTTCTCACGGACAAACATTAATTACTAAGCAATTTGTTCAACTAGTAATCTATTTTTATATTTTTTTTATTGCGTTTTCTAAAATGTTTTGCAAACCTTTAACAGGTCAAATAAAGCAAATATTATCATTCTCTTTTAAAAATTTAATCAAATAATTTTAAAGAATAAAATTTTGAACAAACAAAACAAACTGTCAATAACATATTTATTTTAAGATTGACCTTGAAGAAGTTTTCTAAACACCAATTTATGTGTTTACTTAATCTATGAGGCTTTTTTTGACCTGGTATAAAATTTTATTTCTTTTTTTTTATTAGGAACAAAAAATCACTTTCTAAAACACCTCAATTTACATAAATCTCATAATTCAATTATGACCTTATTATAAATGAAACATGAATTCGAACTATCCCCATCATCATCATCGTCATCATCACCATCGTCATTCTTTCACATATTCTTAATTCATATAAAGTTATAATCATTTTTTTCTATTTTCTGTGTTTCAATCCAAATATAAAATTAAATTTGTAAATATTCTGTTTTGATTTTTAATTCTTTTTTAGGTTGATTTAAGTGTTTCTTTTTCTTCTCTAAAAGGAGATAAAATATAATCACTTGTTTTGACGATGACAATAACAACAACAAGAAGAACCATTTAAGTCAACTACAATAATTAAAGTGGATTGTTCATATAATTTAATTGGATAATTATAACTTTCATTTTAGTTTATTTATTTTCAATTCAATTTTTATAAAAATTATTAAAGATAAGAAAAAGAATAAGAATAATAAGTGAATTTATTGTGCTATTTAAACCGTTTATTTATAGCTGAGTTGGTGTTAATCTACGGTGAATATGACCCTAAAAATAATAAGATCCATGTTTTTACACTACATTGGAATAGTTAAATGAAATTAATGAATAAATAACAAAATCGTTGGATTATTATTAACATGATGATTTTAATTATAATATTCAACTCTATTTACTAAGTTACAGTAATAAATTCTCAACATTAATTAGACAATGTCTTTGTAACATATATTATCAAGTCGTAATGGTATTTCACAGTTAGTACGTATCACTCATCCTTATTTATGAAACATTTGACCATTTTATATGGAATAACTTTTACTTTGAATGGTTATATTTCGGATACATGAATTCTAGTCAAATGGCTTTTGATCTCTTCAAACATCAGAAAGGGAGAAAAATATCCCGACAATTTTGATATTTCTTCTTAATAGGTTGCAAGCTTTACATAGAACCACTCAATTGTATACGATTAGCACTGAGAATTAGTTATTTAAGAGGAAGCTGAAACTAAGAAGTTTTTTAAGCAATATTTACACAGTTGGAAGAAAGGTTGTTCAAATGTTTAACCACAATATTTCCATTGATGATAATGAAAAGCAATAAGGATGGAGTTAATTAATTAAGCAAACAAGAAACGTGAAAACGATGGAAAGTCAAATTTCATAGGGGGATAAAGAATGAAAGCATGTGCGACACTACTGGCGAATATGTATTGGTTTAATAAATGTGAAAAGAAAAATGCTAACTATGAAGTAATAAAGTGAGGCAGTGTGCACAGCTTTCAGAAGAATATATATATATATATATATATATATATATATATATATATATATATATATATATATATATATATATATATTGCAACATTATTCGTACAAATAATTAGTAAGCGATATTTGAAAATTAACCTCTGTACTTTGCAAATTGATCCTGTGACATAGTTAAGCTTTCCATTACTATGTTGTTTATTATTAACGACAGATGATTGAACTGTAAATGAAACGTGTCTTGTAACCTACTTTGAAATTCTGTCAGTACGATCATATACTTCTTTTCCTGCTGATATTTTACACCAAACCTGTCTCTGATAAAATTAACTCGTTTGTGTAATATCAATTCTAATTAGTAGATCATAAAATAATTAGGCGCATATATGATGACAAACCTATCACAGTAATTTTTGTTGCTTTTTTCTGTGCTCCCTTTTCATCTATTATCTAGATACAAATGATTACCATTACTTTAAAATGGCAATAAAAATGACTTTAGATATATTATCCATTCATCAAGAGAATGTCTTAGTTCCCCTTTGGTGAAATAACGGTCACCGATTGATGCCTCCTATTGAAGTAATCTATGCGACCAATGTTGTCTCAAAGCAATTTCCGAACTAAATTATTGAAAACAATTTAAACTCATATAACTGTTCTAGACATATATTTGTATCAAATTGATTTTGTTTATAAATCGTCATCCATTCTGTGATCTTTTTCAAAATATATGGTCTACTTATTTACTTAAAAGAATAATATAAAAGTTGATGTTTCAAATAATGTGACCGAAAAATCACTCAGACCTCCCTCACTTCAGTTACTGACCCAATGTTTGTGATGGGTGTATTGTTGAATCTTTGGTTGAAAATATTTAGATAAAATGAGAAGTAATAGTGTAGTGAACAAACACTCAGGTAAGGACAACCAATTTATTATTTAATACTTAATTATAGAATATCTAAGCAAAATATGAAAACCATACATTGAATACTTCATTTAGAAATCTTCCATCAATTGTCTTTCAGTTTCTGTATGATTCTTCCAAGTCACAATTCCTATTTATTTTCCTTTCTGTATTATTCAACTCGATTTTCTTAGCCTTCTGCTGTCAGGTTTTTTACTTCCGATTAGTTTTACATACTACTTATATAGACAATCATAAGCAGTATACATCACAATAATACAGTAAACATTAAAATGGAATTATTTGTCAATCGCATATTATCAACCAAGATAACTAGTGTTTTCAAGAAAAATTTGTTGTTGTTGATATGCTCATATAAGGTGGAATGCACCGAATTGACATTTAAAGATTCTTCTATAGTTGAGACCCTGAGTCAATTGAAGCTAGTCCACCATGGAAAACCTGGAAGCACTGAACGGCCGTTTTGTCTTAGTATGATACTCCTCAGCAATGAGCATCCTCGATCCCGCCCCCCCAGCGAAATCCGGATCCAGAACCTATCATTGTCATGTGCTAGCGCTTAGCCATTAAACCATTGAGCCGGCATCCGACGATGTTAATATCTAACTTCAACCAATCTATGAAATTGAGCGACGCATCCACCATTGTCATCAGTGATTAACTATCTCACAACTGACCCGGTTGAAGATTTATTCAAATACGCATAAAAATAGAATTAAACAAAACAAAATACTATAAAATCATAACTTCTTCATAATTGAATACGATTATTTGTTTTTGATTGACTTTTATGAGTTATGAAGTGTTCTACTTAAAGATTCTAACAAATTGATTCATTTGTTTAATGATGTGAATGCATGTAAAACATTTTTTAAAAAGTCACTAAATTTTAGTCATTTAAACATTATCAAATCTTATCATCAGTAAATATTCACTAAAATAAAATACACATTTAAATAAAGTGATTTCACCAATTGTATCTGTCCATTATATCAATTTATTTCCTTGTTTATCAGTAGTACAATTATATAAAAGAAAATTTGTTAGCAATCAACTAATTTAGTAAGTTTTAACTTCATCTGAATCAAGTATTTATCACTTCATTGAAGTAATAATAAGTAAACTAACTATATCCTGGGCTTGTAAAAATCAACAACACTTCATAATATTCGAATGGTTTGAAAAAGGAGAAAAAGAAATCTATCACAAGGATGTAATAAAATCATTCAAAGTAACTAGTTTATTCTATTTTAATTCGATACATTAACTAAGTTCTGATTGGCATGGTGTCAGTACCATAGTTTTGTTTCATTCATGGTGGTGTGGAATTTGTTTTCATATAAACTATTTAACTTAGAATGATTCTACACATATATAGTCGATAACTATATTCATAATATATTACTATTTATTTATAATTTTTATGTTAAAGTGATGTCATTTTAGATGGTACATAGAAAGATGATCTCAAATTTAAAAAAAGATTAATCATGTAAAGGGAAAATGATAAAAAATCACTCACTTTAATAATCGGATATCGTATTATTTCTAAGTATGAAAGTTCAATAATAGTGTGATCTTGTTTTGGTAAGATAAAATGTGGTTCATTATCATTTTCATCTTCGACAATAATGTGTATTAATGAACGTCCACGTTGTTGAGGTTGACCTTGATCTTCACCTACAATCCAAAATTTATATACAACAATGTCTGTCTTATCAATCACTTTTGAAATTTTAGTTTTCATTCCGTAAGATTTGTGTGATAATGTAGATGATAACGAGGATTGAGATGAGGATGTAGATGATTTTCGTATTTCTGAAATTTCTTTTAACTTTTCACGGTCAATTTTACTCTTCGTATATATCTTTACTAAGTAAATACCTTTTTGTGTGTCGTAATAACTAAGTAACTCAAATGGTAAATGCAATTTAGTTGATATATTAACTAGATTTCCATTTGCTGAATTCGCTGCTTTCGACAATGAAGATATAGATAACGACAACTCGCTACCATGATGAGTGTGTTTGTTATAAGGCATTGATTCAATTTCGAAGTGAATTAAGCCATTACTGCCTAGATCATTATCTGAACAAGTAATACTTCCAATATATTGATTTGGTGGATTGTTTTCAGTCATATGAAATTCATATACTTGTTTTGCGAACGTAGGCTGTTCATCATTGTAATCACGTACGATAATCTGAATATTGATTGAATTCGATAAAGCTGGTAGACCACAGTCTCGTGCAACAACAGTAAATTCATAGCGATCACATATTTCTCGATCCAAGTTACCCTTGGATTGAATAAGCCCAGTTAATTCATTAATGTGGAAGTGATTAGCAATTGTACGATCATCTACTATGTAGTACTTTATCATAGCGTTTATCCCAGTATCATTATCTGTAGCTGAAAGTTTTATAACTTCATAATGCATCTGTTTCCTTTTTGGATCGCTATCTTCCATTATTGCTAATTGTAATTCACTGGAATTAAACATAGGTTTATGATCATTTTTATCAGTAATTTCAACGTATATTACTTTACTTGACATTAGAGATGGTTTTCCATGGTCATGGCATTCGACTATCAACTTAATAAAATCAATCTGTTCACGATCAAACGACACGGTTGCAGAAAGTTTATAAATCATTTCTGATTGCGACCACATTTTTTTTTCAAGTTGCATTTCACCACCATGGTTTTTAGATATGCCGCTATTAGCAACACTAGCCAATGTCTCGATATTACTGTTAGTAATTATTGATGTTAATTTAAACTGGTCCCTGTACTTTTCTTTGAGAAAACATGAGATTCTGCCATTCAAACCGTCATCATCATCGGTTACCGAAATGATAGCAAAATCTAATGGTAAATTCTTTGAATGTTCGGGTATACTTAATGTTGTATTCCCATCAAGTGACTGGAATGTTATTACAGGGGAGTTATCGTTAACATCGATAACCTTTACAATCAACTTTGCAGTTGAAAAAGAATCTGTTTCAATTTGTTTTGGACTGAAGGAAATGGAGTTATCTTCATTTAATTGACTTTTAATTGACTCTTTTGAAACATTCACTTCGTAACTGTAAGGATTTCTTGCGATAATTGGAATAGTATAAATTGAACGTGATCTGTGATTTAGTTTATTTTTAAGATATACAGAACCATTATTAGGATTTATGAAAAAGGTTGTTTTAATTAAATCTGGCGCTTTGGAATCTAGTTCGTAAATTATTTTGCTGTATATATCTCCCAAGTCTAAATCAATCGCTGAAAATGTGTATATTGGTAGCGCTGTATTGAAATTTTCAGCGATGTTAATTTCTGTATAATTCGTTGTAAAATATGGCTTATAATCATTTCTATCTTGCACTATGATAGTCAATTCAAGGTAGCATCTTTGACTAGACTTACCATACTTACTGTTTGCTTCAATTATCAAATGATATTCAGCTAACGTTTCATAATCCAGTGCTTTTGTTATATAAAGATTTAATAAATATGGCTTAATCAATGATCCAGTTGGTAAGATGATTAAGTTAAATGGTAAATCAAGTTCACGTGGTTGAAATACTGCTGATTGATTTATTTCGGTAGTTTCATTTTTTGTGTATAGAAATATTTTATCGGAACTGACAGTATGATTTGGATGAGCATCAAGATCTAAAGGTTGATGTAGTGGTATGTTAATATGAGAACGAGGTTTAATATCTTCAGGTAAGTAAATAGTCTGCTTAGAATCAGGTGTAAATGTACAGTAATTATCATCAATATCATTTACAGTTATATGAACACGAATTACCTCAATGATATCTATTATATTATTTATTATTTTAATTAAACTTACACCAAATGTTAATCGACAATCATGTGAATATGAAACATTGTACATATTTAATGTAGATTGTTGTTGAATTTGTACATTCGATGATATTTCTACAAAATGATGTTGATGATAATTGAATTCATTGTATGGACATAATTCTTCACGATCAATTCGTTTTATTACATAGATTCTACCATCTTCTGGTGTTACATGAAATAAATATGCATGATCTTTATTAATTGGTCTAAATAACAAATGTTTATGTTCTGCAATAATATAATTAGGAATATATTTGATTAATACTCCAATAAGTGTTGTATTTTGTTGTTGTTCTTCATGCATTTCTAAACGTACTACAATTGTACAATCAATATTGATAATTGATAATATAAAAACACTAAATAATTGACATAGAAACAATTTAGAATGTGAAATTTTTTGATTACTAATAAAATTTGTTTTACGTGTTTGACAAGTTCGTTGTTTTGTTATAGTAATAGTACATAAATATTTTGATTTATATCCTTGTCCTATTTGTTGGTTGAATTGTTTTTCAACCTTGTCTGGAGCCAAAATCATTACGTTTAATCATGTTGATTGTGTATATGTGTGGGAATATGATATTTGGATCTACTTACTTTTTTTAACTTTCCATATTTTTTATATGATAATATTTCTTAGATAGAAAATTGTCTAAATTTAGTATTCCATTCGTTGAAATGCTTATCCAAATTTGAATTGCTTTAAAAATGTTTGATAGAAATGCTAAAATTAATTAAACAGCAAATTGAAAGTCAACCAATAAACTAATGCATATAATATTCAAATTTATTATATAAACTTAATCATTACTATACATTATTCTAATCGTATTACCATGTTGAGTGTTCATTTATTGAGGTTGTTGTGTGTCTCAATACTATTCAAGTACAAATATCCCATTTTATGTCTCATGGATCATTGAAATAAAGAAGGGTCTCGAGTAACTAATTTACCTACATAAATTATGAGATTCTATGATTGATTTACATCGATGAGAAGGCTCTCAAAAGTGATTTAATTTCAAGACAAATTAGTAAGAAGTTACATTAAGATATTAGACGTTTAAAGCCAATCACCAGAACGATGTAGATCTGGATTTTATGAAACTGTCACTCATCAGAATGATGATCTGAAGTACAATTAGAATGGAATTTTTCATTAGATTAAAAGAAATATCATTCAGTATCACAGTCATTACAGTCCCAGAGCTGTACTTTATTATATCAACAATTCTGAATTACAAACATCCAAATTATATGGTGAGCACAAGTTAAATTATAAATGAAGAAACGTCTTGCTACAAAGTGCCACCGGGTATGAAACAGACATCCAGATATTTCTTCAGGTCACCTAAAACGATCTAATATTCAAACATAGGTTGGGGAATGCTGAGTATCTAGTTTCCCTTTGTTGCTCTATTTATAGGACTTGTTTAGCACTAAGGACTAAACAGACATGATATAGGTTACTAATTGGTAACCAGTTGCACACATTGCATGAGGAATGAAAACAACTAATGATTAACAAAGTTAACGGCGAAAATTCGTGGTGATAAAATATCATCATCATAAAATCTTTTCTTAATATATTTATTACTAAGACAACTCTGTACATGAATAGAAACTTTATGTTTCTTCTGATATCTGAGATGGTCAGTAATGCCATACAAAGACTTATGAAATAATTACGCTTTATCTAAAGGTCTCTTATAGAATAGAGCTCGTATTTAAGTAGTTTCATAATCATAATGTTATATACTATCGAGAAATGAATGAATGGTAACGGAAATCAATTGTTTATGGGCTAATGTCATGCATATGTTCTTATTATATAATTATTAAATAACTATATTATATGTATATTCATATTCCTATTATTATAAGCTTCCATTTTACCTGTTGACTACTATTATACGATTTACCATCTTTTACTTATTCCCAATTTATTAGTTACAGTACCTCACACCCACAGCCACTGTTTTAACATGATCTTGTATGTTTGTTATTTCTATTTCATTGTATGATGTGCTCTGGTTTATTTGTATATAAACCAAGTATGTCCAAAATGCATGATTTGTATAGCGGAGGCTGATATTAGTGTTACGGACTAAACCGGCTAGTTTAGACGAGAGGCTCCATTTTAGGTAGACCGATAAGAACTCAAAGTTGACTATAGGCTACTCCTACTGATTTATGCGTCATTGGTCTGATCAACAACTTGGTGTCCTATTTGGCAATCGTATCACGTGATAATTAAGAGGCCATGAAGACATAACACGTAATAAATTAGATTTTAAAGATCGTAATATCTTTTGTGAATTAAGTAAAACAATCTGATCGAGTATGACGAGAAATAGTATAAAATTAATTTACTGTCTGACAATTTTAAGAATGTGCAAAGTAATATGTTAAATGAATCTTAACGAAAATGTCGAATAGAAAATTAGGTATTTCAGAAGATACTAAATTCAAGTTACATGTCTCTTGATAATAATCAAATAATTAAATTCAGAAAGATTAGAGAACGAATAACAACTAACAATCAAACAAGATACGAGCCCTGAATTTCATTACAATCCTCTATTCAATCAAAGGGCTTTTGGGAAATTTATCCTGGTGTTGTTAATACTATGCTCATTAGATAATAAAAAGTTGAGAAAATTGATGAAGATTTTAAAACACAATACTTAATAATGGTAATTATGGAAAGAATTTAAGTGATGGTAATTCCGAATTACATTTAAGAATAGAGTTAACACTTGATTAATGAATAATGATCAATTTCTACAAGTGATGATGAACGTGTTGTTAAGCTGTCAACTTAAATCAAATCACTTGTTAACTTGGTGATGATGAAAATCACTCATTATCTTAGTAAAGTTTATAAGTTAGTTAATACATTCAATCATGTGTGATGTAGAAAATGCATGATTTTTGGGTGGAAATATTATTTGATCCCTTTCAAAGTATAATTAAATAGACTTTTTCTCACAGAATCTATTGGTAATGAGAAAATAAAGTCGTTCGATTTTTCTTTCTCGTTTAAATAATCCCTGAAGGGAAAATGGTGAATTAAATCACAAAGTACTGTGGGGTGGAAGTAATTATATAATGTCTCAATTTTCAAAGGCCACAGTGTACACATATTGATCTTTTATTTATTTTCAGTCCTTAAAAATCAACGCAAAACGTTTGTGGCTTTTGGCATGTTTAACCATACATCGTCTTAAAAGAATGATTATTTATTACGTTTCCGTTAAATTTTACTGTACCATTGAAGGATACGTATCAGTATAGGGTTGTGGATATTGTTGGATTTCATTTGAACCATGAACCGTTCAATGTTCAACCATCATTGAAAACATGGAAGCACTTGACGGCATTTTCGTTTTAGCACAGGACTCCCTAGAAGTGCTCATTAATGGTCCCACGCGCAGAACTCAAACTCAGAACCCATGGTTTTGTAAACGAACACTCTAGAGAACGGCCTCAATTCAACAGTGTCAATGTTTGAAATAGTCACGCGATATCGTAGATTCATCAAAGTTGGACATTAATATCGTCGAATGTCGGCTCGTTGGTCTAGAGGTTAAGAGTTGGCAAGTAAGATAAAAAGTCCTGGGTTCGATTCCCGTATTCGTGATTGTGGATGCGCATTGATGGAAAGGCTTGTGTTTGATGAAATGGACATCTAATGCCTTCAGATTTTCAATAGTGTTTTTACATTGATCGGTTCATAATTTTAGTTGAAACTAATGACTAAATTCATAAACATGAGCCAATTAGGTTGTATTCACAATTCTTTTTATATGACAGTTTGCAATTATAAGTTAATATTTATATCACTAGAAATAAGTAAACTAGAGGTTCATCTAAACTTTTAGAATTAAAATGTAACTAATTTCTTTTCAGCAGGGGTTTTGTGGGGATTTTAGTAATTTTAATAGGCGGGGTCGTGTATGCGAACTGCTGAGGAGTCCCACAATAGGACGAAATGGCCGTCCAGTGCTTCAAGGTTTTCCATAGTGGTCTAGCTTCAACTAACTCATGATCTCAACTGTTTTCTTTTCATTCATAAATTTTTTTGAAACTCTCAATCAACACATATAGTTAGATTATGGTTATTAACTATGATATTTGAATTTAGTTTTAAAGAAAACAGGTGGATAAAATTTGTAGCTTTTTTCATATTCATAGATTTTTTATTGTAATCTTAGAAAATGTATTACTATTATAAATGTTAAATATTTTATATGAATTGGAAATAACTGTGGTGTTTGAATGAACTAATGATTCCTTTGTACTTGTTGAATGCTTGATTTCAGATTCGTTCATGCTTATATAGTACTTCTTGATCCCATTGAGTTATTTTTGGGATTCTTAGTTCGTATTATAATTCAAATACTCCTAATTATCACAGTAACTCAATATAGTGGAGTCTATGAATAAAAACAAGATGTACGTCATTAAAAGTAAAATACTTTATGAACTTAGTTCTAATAATAAATCACAATATTGAATTGGTTTATTTATTCAAGATAAATCTGTACCTATATTATGGTAAATTATTATAAGAAATCACTTGCAAGAATTAAGGGTAATAATTTATTATTTAACAACATTCAATAAGTTTCTTCTAAAGAAAGGTATTTGATAGTCGACTTATGATTTCAAATATACACTTGTTCTTAAAGAGGAAGAATGTATTTGTAAAATTTTAGCAAATGAATTTGAAGTAAATCTGAAGTTTTGCCTGGTAATCTGGTACACGTTTTTTCAAGAAAATACAATCAAAGATCAAAATTATCGAATATAAATAGGTAATATGGTTCGCCGGTTTATTGTATACTGAATAAGTCATTCAATTAACGTTAGCAATGTTTAAAGTAGGTATTTACGTTAGTGTGTAAGAAACATGTGGTATGAAACTAACTGTCCCATGGCAACTAATAATTAGTAAGTAAACCTGAACTCCTTATTCCATTCTATCTATATCGCATTACTTTCAACGGTTCAAATCAGTTACCTTATTTGAATATGTTAAACAATTGACTGAAACACTAAAAATAACGCGAACTTTCAATTACAAATACATTATTCCTCTTTGAATTCATTCTTTTATCTTGTTTACTTATCTTCATTTAATGCATGCTGTAACATTTTTGATTTATATCATATATAAAAATCAAATGTTTTCTTAATATTCACCGATCAAAGACAGTATATAATGAATGAAATTTTTCCGTCTCACGTATACATACAATCTGTTATCTTAACACTTTTCGTTTCACAACACATGTCTTACACAATAATGCAAATACCTACTTTAAATATTGCTAACGTTGATTGAATGAATTATTCAGTATACAGTAAACTGGAGAACCATGTACCTATTTATATTTGATAATTTTGATGTTTGATTATATTTCCTTGAAAAAGCTCGTACCAGATTACCAGGTGAAACGTTGGATTTACTTCAACTTCTTTCGCTAAGATTTTACAAATACATTCTTGCTCTTCAATGTCTCACATTAACTCGGCGCCCAAATACTGTGAAACTATTCAATCAAATTTAGACAAAAGTTCTTATTTATACGATTGTTCTGATTAAAAAACCAGCCTAAATATATTCAAGACGTCTTCACACTGTACATATCACTTATATGCATTTTGAAATCAATAATATATATATCCTCCTTACACAAACGATTGGTGAAATTTGGT